GAAGTGGCACAGTGGACAGAAATGGCGAGAGAATATTACCTTCTCCAGCTCCAGAAGATGAAATCGTAAAACTTGAATGGCTTGAATCATCTGAAAAATTAAAATAACAATAAAAAATGAGCTGTTCACATCTCTTGATATTAAACAGACGCGTTTTTCTCAATACAAGTAACTGTAGATGAGGAAAATATTCATGTGAATGGATTTTATGTGGAACTGATATTAAACTTGGATGTTATTGCAATATGGAGAGCAGGCGTACAGTACAGACTGAAGCTGCAATAAGCCTCAGAGTCAGAGATCTATTAGTCACCAACTAGTCGAGGGGAAGCGTTACTCTAACATTACATTTAAAGTATCAAACTGAACAAAGTGGAAAGACTGAATAGAATAAGTTTCCAGGCAGGGTTCAAAGGTGTGTGACAGCTGTCTGACAGCAGCCCTTCATCTGCAGATACAACCGGGGGCCATCATGATATCAAACAGCCCAAAAAAAAGGGAATATCAGCTGCAATCCTGCTTTAACTTTTCAGCACCACGTGGCTGCCTGACACAGATGAAAAGCCCGCCACATCCAAACAACAGCTGGCATATTCAAAAATGCAGTACGAAAATGCAGAAAATGTCATTTGTGCGATAATAAAATATAGAGCTTACCAGATTATCCAATTCTGGATTCGATGAAAATAAAGGTTTTTCTGCCCGAATCTAAAACCCAAAACATTTCTTTATAAAATATATGAATATAAAACGTCACACTGATATTTTTAACATATAATGTAATATTAAATTCACATACACGCATTAAACGGAACACTAGTTACTTCTTCGCAAAGACAGTGCACAATATGAAATTAGAACATTGTAAAAATTGCGTTAATTTGAATGGCAGATGTCTATTTAATTCATTTCAGTGCAGAATTAAGTGTAAGCACAAAAGCCAGAATTGCACATTTCGGACTGTCAGGTGAGAGCTCACGCTGCTCGAGCATGCAGATTAAGAAGAGTCAAAGTTTCCTGACCTGTTTTGCAAACACTGCTATGTCTTCATTGAAAGATTCCGATGAACAAACGTCTCCTCCCGCCACCCCGGGCTCTCTGGGGGTGCAAGTCGCTAATTCACATTTCTCAAAAATCAGTGCAAGCAAGGGGAACAGGGGGTGCCTGGGAACACACACAATAGCAAATGTCACCAGAGAGAACAGCGCCGGGGTCAAGACTACTCCAGGCTAGATTTAGCCAGCCATGGTACTCTTCAACAACTCACCCATGGGGACTGCTGCTGCTGCAGCCCATGCTATTATATTATGCAGAGGCTCGGAGAAAGGCTTCAAACAGCGGACAGACTTTTGTGATTAAATCTAGGCGCGCCTAATAGCATAAAAGCTTTAGAGTCTGTCAAACAATTTCTTGCACAGGTCTCCGTTTGCATCACAGGCGTGTGTTTGTTTGGCAAAGAAAAAGAAAGAAAAAAACTCGACGGTTAAATGTGCACACATTTATTATTTATTGTTCAAGTCCTTAGAATAAATATGTGCAGCCTGGTAATGCGGAGGTGAACGCGCTACCTGAAGTTGTGCCACTGTGGCAAAAGGTGGTAAAACTGCAACTGGCCTGAAAACGCTCTTGTTAGATTTTAATAAACTCACGTAAATTAATAAATGATTTTCTTTGAACAGTTTTTTTTAATTTGCTGAAGCTTTGCAAATTAATACAATTAATTCAAAATGTTAAAAAGCAGAATCTATTTTTATTTGTACTTTTTTTAAACTTATAATAAACGGCAAAGCTTTAAATGGAATATAAGCGGGAAAATTTGGGGGTGGAAAAGGCTCTACGTATAGGTGAGCTTGTTTCAGAAATATTCAAGTCAAAAAATAATTGGAACAACGGGAGATTGGCGAGTCTTCCAAGTACAAAAAATATTGCTATATCTTTCACCCAATAGAAAAACGCAACAGACATGACTGGACTAAAAAGTACAACACTCCAAATTATGCCAAAAAATAAAAGAGCAGGAGAAGCCCGCTTAGCCTCTCTCCTCCCCAGCGCCTCTGCATCAGTTTGGGTTCCAGTGTGTCTTAAACTCTTCACCGGGACAGATTGCTGTCCCTGGCATCGAGCCTGTGTTTTCTTTTGTACGAGGCTGATTTTGCACCCACTTGCCCACCCCAGCTGGCCCCTCCAGGCCTGGATACACGCCTGCCCGACAGAGTGAGTTTCCCCACGGAACGAAGGCGTGCACCTACCCGTATATAGCGTCTTTATCTCTCTTGAGAGCGTCGTTAACGGAGGAGCCCATACTAGGAGGCATGGTGTTGGTGTGGGCGGTGTGCGGGTACTGGTGAGTGTGCATCTGGGGACCGTGGTTGAGGTGAACCGCCTGCATGGACCGGGCGCCGTGCGGGTCTCCGTACATGGTGGTCGGGATGCCCACACCGTCCATCCCGTAGTGGGGCAAGTCTTCGTACTGCACACAACAAACACCCGGGTCAACAGTGAATATAGACGTACAAGACTATATTAGACTGATTAAAACTTTAGTGTAAAAACAGCGAAGTGTAAAAGTGAGTAGCAGGACAAGTGACACTTGTAGTGTTGTTTTTTTTCTTCTAAGAAAAAGTTCGGCCAAGCTGAAGAAATAATTTAATTAATTTTACAAAATTAAGAACGTGTTTTTAAAAAAAAAAATCCAAAATTTTCAGGTACACATACGCTTAGCTTCCCTTTTAAAAATAAATGTTATTAAAAATTGAGGAGGGGAGAAAAAAGATATGTAAAGCAAAAGAGAGACAAATTCACGTCTGTGTTTTTGATTTTATAATCAGAGAAAGTTTTAAAGACTTGAGTCTAAAACTGAGTTGTCTCCAGTAAGAAAACTGCACTGATAATTCTGAAGTGCAAGCTAGTTTTTGTTCTCGACTCATTCCCAGTGACCCTTGAAGCCCGGAGGAAAAACACATATGAATTATTCAATATGTTCGAAATTACTGGGAGTACAAAAACTGTAGCAACACGGCTCGGTTATTATTATCGCCATTAACCAGGCGGTTGTTGGGCTTTAACACCATAAACCCGGAGTCCTGTGTTGTCACAGTGTACAACAACAAAAGTCTTAAAGTTGTTAATTGTGGCGTTTCTCATTTTAAAGGCTCGTAACTGTGCTGCATGTTCTTACTTATCGAGCACGCTATGATTAGTGCAAACAACACAAGTCGCGTGCTGTGTTTTTCATGTTGTTAACCGAAGGTGAATATTCAAACTTTTTTCATGCGTCGCTTTTGAGTGAATTACCACCCAGCCTTTACGTTTTTGGTTTGTAACTACTCAGAAATGTTGCTTCTGGTCTGATAAAGGTCAAATTAAGCAACTTATTTGAGGTTTGCTTTTTTCATATACAAGAAAATATGCTTAAATTATTAATGACGTTCTTTTAGACGTGACAAACAAGTGCCGGTGGAAGAGTAAAATGCATTATCACTTAAGGCTGAGCATGTCGACCCTAAAGGCAAAGAGGTGCAAACCCCAGCGTGGTGTAGCCCCAGTGCCAAATTCTGCAGCTAAGTGTGTCCAGTGTCCCTAACATCCCCGCTTTTACGCTGTTTATTATCTGTGTGAAGATTCAGCTGCTGCTCTAAAGAAGTCCCTGGATTGTGCGAATCAGAGCGTTTGTCATCACCTCGTTATTAGGGAAAAAGTGCCTTACTTGCTCGAGGCTTATTTTTTTGCATATTTAAACGCATTCTACGACGTGCCGTCGATTGACGAACAACCGACGGAATTTTTATTTTGATCGTAAATACTCGATAAGTAAGCTTGATGGAGCAGCCAACAGAGAAAAGTAGAGATTTGTTTTGCCTCCATGCCCTCCCCCATTTTGCTTCCAGTAACTGGCCTGTCATAACTAATCTAAAAAACACAGCCGATGTGAGATATGATCACGCTCCCAGTGTCTCTCAGTGGGCCGGTTTGTGGGACAAACGAGAGCGACCGTGCGTAATACCGGGCCAAAAACACGCCAAACATGAAACAGTCCCTCCGTGTGTCAGGAAGACGACAGAAACTTTCGCCGCGAATGTGTGTCCGTGTGGGTATGTGTGTCATTAAGCCACGTTACAGCGCAGCATAGCATTCAAGCGCAGCAGACTTGGAGAAACTTTTTAGGGGGGATTGCCCTACGTACCCGTTGCGCCATAACCCTCCTCACTCCCTGGTCGTCCTTTCACTTTAGGTAAATCCCCTCTGCGGCCAGGGTGGAGACGAAATAAAGAAAGAAAATCCAAATAAATGAGAAGATGTTTCAGCCAAAATCCCGTTTGCCTTTTCTTTTTTTCCACGGAACGATGAAGCCAGCTCCCGCTTTCTGTGCAAGTTTAGCCCAGGCGCGGCAAATAGGTCCTCGGCTATCCTCGGGGCAGCAGCACCGGGCTCCTTTTCCAAAACCAGGATGAAAATAAAAAAGCCCCTCAAACAAAACTGGCGACTCTCATGGCTTTTTGCCACTCCGCCTGTCAGTCAAAACGCGAGGGCTTGTCAAAAGTACCGGATGAATGATGGTCCGACGTGCGTCTCCACGGGATCGGCACCACCTAAATGTTAATGGTCACAATCACAGTTAAAAAATGAAGCAGCTCTCCCCTCGTTTTCTTTGATCACTCTCGGCTCCCGGCTTGATTTTCTTATGCAAAAGCGTCTAGAGGAGATCAAGAGGAGGTGGGGTGATAATTCTGGCTTAGGCTTTCTTAAAGGAGCCACGATCGATGCTGTGCGCGTGTATGCGTCTGCATGTGTGTGAGTGCGTGTGTATGCGTGAGCCGCCTGCCCGTTTGTGTACAATGGATGTGTGTGTTGAGCTGAGGAGGAGCGGAGGATCTGGACCAGACTGCCGAAACCCGGAAGTAGTGGTGGCCATAACAGGTCGCGTCTCTTACACAACGCACCGGGCTGCAGCAAGTCGTGCGGAGAGGAGGGGGGGTGGGAGGACCCTGTGAGCCCAGCCAGCCAGCCAGCCGCACTGCGAGCTGGAACAACACTAAACACAGAATATTCATCTGTGACTTCGACTTCATGTCTCATCCTCACAAACTGACTTTATTCTGCAGTCTGGAAAACACGTGAATTCGGAACTGACACGTCCAGCACCCACTTCTCTTCTTATAGTTTGTAAACGAGTTACTGAACCAACTTTCTACTCTGAAGTGAGCTGTTCTCAGGTACGTTATTAAGAGCCTGTAAGTTAATAATATGTTTATAATGAAAGAAAATGAGCTGTAGAATAAAATAAGTCGAGCTCATCCCAGTAATGTTGCAGTCAACCGAAGCCTCTGAGAAGCTGTCATCATTCTTTATGCATGAAATCCACTGCAGCCAAACATCCAGTTTTGCGGGTTTTCGGCCTTGCAGCTCGACTTCTGTGCAGTCAATTTGCTTCCCGTGTTTGATTTTATAACTGAAAGACTAGAAGCAAACAACATATAAAAACCTTGGAGAAATTGTCCAGTCTAGATAGAAAGAACAATAAAGCAACTTTAAACACGTCACTTGGAACATTTATACTTATTTTAAAAGTTGGTTGCTTTTCAAACAAAAGCAGCTTAATTACTCCGGATGTTGATGAGAGTCGTCATGAGAAAAGTGGATACTGAAATAAGTATATAAAACATTAAAGTCGTCGTCAAAGCATCTTTTATGTCTAAATAACAGTAAACGTTATCCACTTATCTCCCCCACAGTAGTGCCGAATGGGTCGCTCCAGTCAGCCCGGGCTGTCCAATGGCAGAGAGGCAAAGAGATGGGAGCCCCCTATTGGCTCCCCACATGATCGATCCCGAGCTGATTGATCGGTTTTAGGCCACATTGGCGAGGAGGTGCAAAACAAAACGTCGGCCGCGGATACATAACACACACTTTACGCTTCTGTCAGCTTATACAGTGCGTAATTTAGCCAAAACTGAAAATATCTGACCAAGACACCCCCTTTCCTCTCTACCTTTCCATTTACCCCCCTACCAAACACACACAAATTTTCACATCTCCAACTTAATTACGTCCCTCTAAACGCACTTACACTTTCACTTAACTTTCCCTAACCAAACAGAACTACTCCTAAGATATGATAATGTCTCTCCTCTCGGAGTCCTTATTAATTTAACTTTTGTCTTTTTTATAATGAAGCGTTCACTTGAGTTTCACGATTTGCCGTACAGAGATTATAAAAGTTTGGTCAAATATTTATGAGCTTTAATATATGAAAGGGAACTTGGATTCTTGAGGAATTTCAGAAAAGTAATGATACCACTGAATAATGTCTGGGTATAAATTAACCAAATTGTTTGAATTTTCTATTTTATCTTATTATATATGATTCCTCACCGGGAGGAGAAGAACTACAAATCTTATTTAATTTAGCTGATATTTTTTAATTAAAAATGAACTTTGATTACCTATTTCTACATAAATATTAATGAGATATTCCGTGGCATATGAAGAAATATAATAAAAACGGATTAAGGTGGACATGATTAGTTTTAAGAGATAAGCTATTAGCTTTTTTCCCCTGAAGTTACAAAAGGATATTTGCAGATTTTGTCACTCTTGTCACACTTTTGTCACATGACGATGACCAACACAACTTTTTCATTTATTTTTCAGCCCATCACACATGAATGGAGAGTGTCTAAAAGATCCATTTCATCTCCTGATTATGCTCATGAGGTGTTAAGGTGTTACTGGTCTGTGACAGCCTGCTTTAAGTTTTTTCACCCCTCTTCTTTTTTCCCCGTGCAGTGCGTCCAGTCATCGATCATCTGCCCCGATGCCAGAAACGGTGTCATAATACGATAATGCGGCTTCACACATTCAGCGGTGATTCCTGTGGTAAAACCCGAGCGTTAGGATCCGATGGGACAGTTTTACAGGCATGAAATGACTATCAAAGGCTCCCGCAGTCTGGCCGCTGAGGCTTCGAGGCACGGACACAGGGAAGCCAGAAGGCACGGACTTTTACGCACAGAACACGGGATCAAATAATAAACTGTGCTGACTTGTTTTCGTCCACTTTGCTGATTTATTTATGTAATGGTGAGTAGAAGTTCTCATTTTCGCATTTTCTTCTTCATTTTACGGCAAAGCAAATAATTAGTTGTAAGAATGCCACATAAATATCCACGTTCAGTTATTACTAATTAAAGAGGATGTTGCGGTTAAAATCAGCTTTCAGCTAAATTTATATTTATTGGAATACAAAAGATTATAATGCAGCTCACCTACACTGAATTTTCGCGAGTCATTGGGAAGAAGTAAGGTTAAATCAACATGAAAGGGGGTCACATTAGCACTTGTTCACTTAAAAAAACTATAGCATTATAAAGCAATTAAGCTACGTCAATTAGCATCCATAAAAGCAAACTGGAGCTCCACTTTCTCTCTCGGAGCTGTTCCTTCGTTAGGGTCAGCGCATTTTGGTATCCTGAAAGAGAGCGGGGGGGGCAAAAACCGTCACTTCTGTTTAATCCGCTTTGCGATGACGATAATGCTTTGAGTCGTTTCAATAAAATCAGCAGGTATTACTTTCAAACCGCTGAATGCAAATTGACAGCATGTTTGACTGCGGAAACAAATGAAAGCGTTGTTAGACGGCCTCTGCGTCTTGACTCGTGCAGAGTGAACACAAAGAGAAACTGCACACCTTATGCACTACAAACACACGCTATACTTAATTCGGTTAAAACTCAAAATGCAGAGAAGGAGTATCCAAAGTGTTTATTCTAAACTATGTCAAGTTAATCGCGATTATTTTTCGCTTTTTATGTAAATATGTAAAGAGAGAAAAATGACTAATTTGAATCTTAGCCTAATAAATAACAAACTAAACCCCTCCAGGTCAGAGATATGAATCATCGCTTGGCTCTTGGTGATCCCTTGTATCACTGCTTGTCTGTAGCTGTTTGAAAAAACAAGGAGCAACTGGCAGCCTGCGGAGTCAAACTGAGGTCAAACTTTTTTGCAGCTCCGCAGCTTTGCGCCTAAACATGTTGGGATCTGCAAAAAGGCCATTGAGCCTCTCTGCTTTGTGTCACTGCTTCAGAACACAGACAGACCTGCTGCAAAGTTTTCACAGTTTATCTAATTTTATGAAACTACTAGTTTATTAACGCCTGTCAGAAAACCCAACAGGATACATTAGGGCGCAATTAGGTTCTGTGAGCTCCAGTTAGAAACTATTCAGTCAGAAAAAGGCACTCATTTTTTTTAAACAAGTAAATCATTTATTTTGCTTATATCTGATTAAAACGTTAGTGCAACAAGAAATAATGTGATGTAACATGCAGGTATGACTCATTATAAAAAGGCTAATTTATTATACACACATTATCCAGCATCGTTTATAAAAAAAATACTGATCATATATGAAAGTGCAGCATTTGTTTTTATATGGTCTACAGTTCGTTTTAATCATTGTAAGCGTGTTTGGGCTGTGATTTATGTGAAAGCTTGGCGCTTTTCTTTCTAGAGTGACACTAATATGTTTGCAGTATAATTAAGGTGCCCAAACATCTTGGTAAATACTTTGGCTTAGGTAATGATATAAGCTTGACTTTGGTATGATCACAGTATTTAAATGATTCGCAATATTAATTTCAAACCATGAAATCAGCTCAGGGAGTATTCACTCCTGCTGGATCCTGCGCTTTGGCCCAAATGTTAATCTGAGCTGCTCTCGCCTCTCACACACATTAATGCTTAATCATTTGCGCCTTCTACCGGAGTTGTTGGAAATTACATGTGATGCAGAAGGACGGGAAGATTCCTGACCAGATCATTCAAATAACATACTAAAGTCGCGCAGCGTAAAGGCTCTATTAAATTTCACGCGTTCTTCTGTTGCACTGTGAGCACTTTATGGTCCAAACGTTGGACTAAAGGCAGAATGAAATTGTTTGACTCTATAAAGAAGTGACTTGTCATATTTCTTGTCATTATTTATGTGAATAACTTAATGTGTTAATAAAATATATAACGGTGTGAGAAGGATTTTGGTGCGTTGTCACTGATTATAGAGTGGTTGTTGTATTTTTAGGTGGGTTAGAAATGTTGATATTACATGAACCAGATCTGCTCATTTATTGTCAAAGTGTCACAGGTAACATTTTAACATTTTAAGAGAAACACTTTTCAAATAAAGTCTTAAACATAACAAATCAACACTTTCAGTATTCAAACCTTAGATAAAATGTGGTGCAGAAATCACTCAGCTGTGTTTTTTAATAAACCGTCTACATCAAGATGTTACTAGGTGTAAAATTCTAATTTTCAAAAGGTAGAAAGCTATTCAAAGCTCCATAAAATTTCAACACTAAGGGAACTGCTACTGCTTTCTCTATGAATTGCGTTGATGGCGATGCATAATTAATATTAGCATGTGGATTAATGATAAACAACTGCAAATGACTGATCAAGAACTGACACAAGAGCACCTTGGATCTCACACTCAAACTGCATAACACTTATGGATACATAATGTGATAAACAGCTGTTTTCCTATACAGTGAGAAGTGTGTGAAAATAGATGCACTCTTACATATGGCATGTAAACCTCTAAACATGTGCGTTCAAGTGCGCAAACACAGAGAGAACAGATTCCTGTAATAATAGCTGCGTCTAATGCTGCCCGTCAATTTTCACACTGTGCCATTGGTCACCAGGTCAGCAGCTCCACTTTTACTCTGAAGGGCTGCAGAATCTGAATTAACACCACAGGCAGATAGAGAGCTCACCGCTCTATCACACACAGACACACCTCCTTAACTCTCTCCCTCTTTCTGTCTTTCCCTCTCAGCATCTCTCTCAACCAGCCCTTCCAGCAGCATTTGTCACCGGCACTATTATTTCAGGTGTGCTAATGGTGTCGCAGACACTTTTGCAGAGAGAGGAAGAGACATGATGAAGTGAAAAAGGAGGACAGGAGAAACTGAAGAACAGGAGGAAAAGAGTATCATCGGCATCATCATCATCACTTGAACTCCCCACTCCCTGTAACCCAAAAAAAAAAAAAAAAATCCAGGGATGAATGATCTGAAAGGTGATCCATTCAGGGTTGGAGGGGTAAGGGTGGCTGCGGGTGGATGGGTGAGGATGAGGGGGGGCTTTTCTCACACCTCCCAGGGAGACTGTGAATTGATCAGCACCTAAGAGAGGGAGAAAGAGAGGGAGGGGGGGAAGTGAGAAGAAAGGAGAGCGGCAAAGGAGAGAAATGAAGGATGACGATGAGAAGAGGGCGAGTGGAAAAAGCTGGGTGTTGGAGCTAAGCTATAAAACCAGGAGGGGGGGAAACAGAGTGATAGGAAGGGAGGAGTGAGGCAAGGCTGCAGAAGAGGTGTGAAGACTCATCTTTTTCTGGATGGGTGTGAGTTTAGGCCGGAGCAGAGAGAGGCCTGGGAGCACAGCATAGCCTAGTGGTAATAAACCAGGAAACCCCAGTAGAGAAACAGCCAACATCAGCTATAAGGAAGCTATAAAGTGTTTTTAAAATCAAAATATAGTATTCAGTCTGAGCCTGATATCTTTAAAGTTGATTGCTAGCTAGTTTACTCTTATATGGAAATCGGTTAAAAGGGACCGTTTCAGAAATTCTAGAAGTCATGTTTGTTTTTGTACATTTTATGAGATATTTAATTCATATAATACACATATCAAGGGAAATTCCAGTCCCCTTGACATATTTTGTTTTAAATTGTATAAAACAGTATTGTGTCCATAGCATAAAATGCAGCGTACGGTAAAGGAAACAGTTGGGTAATCAATTTAATCTAAAAAGGTTTCAGTATTGAACAGCATTACAGCAAATATACAGATGTTTTCCTCTGGCTTTCCAGCCAAAATTGTACTTTTTAAAAATCTTTTCTTGTACAGCCGTTCCTCCAGATGATAGCCAGTTTCTTGCCACAGTGGCTGCTAGAATAGAAAAACCCTAACCACAGCCAGTGTTGGCTTGTGGCTGTTCTTTATCTCCCAGGCAGCAGTAAACACATGGTCACTACAAAATGCAGCTGTAACATTCACCACAAAACCACTGTGAAGTACTCATATGGTATGTCAATGAAGGTGATAAAAGCTGCAGCATTCCACTTACCTCTTTGACTTGGCCACCCAGTTAATAGCAAATCAATTCATTTCTTAACAAAGTGTTTTGCAAAGTGTTTCAGAATTAATTCTGAGAGATCCCTTTACTTTGTTTTATTGCAATTGCGAAATAAGAAATACGGCAATATAAAACGTTTCATATATAATGTAAAAATGTGAAATCAGAACAATACTTAAACCAACATGACATAAATATGAATAAATCTTGAATTTTATTTTGTCATCCTTTACATTTTAAAGTATTTGATGTTTTCCTTATCACAGTTTTAATTAAGATAAAACATGGAGAGACATATGCAACAACTAGATACAACATCAATTTACAGTAGGCTGTATATAAATATCAAGTTTGTCTTTTTTGTGGATTTCATCAGACTGTGATGCCTTCAGGTTCTGGCGTGACACTTTTCCAACAGTGAAAAAAGCAACATAATTGTTAACTTTAGTTAAATATAGATACATTGTAATTTCCTTACAAAAGTTCTATTCATTCAACTGTGTTTTACTCCATAACTCCCCCAGGTCATCAATAGCACCCTGCAGTGGCCCTTTGCCCCCAAAAGAGGGCCCACCCCACAGTTTGAGAGCCACTAGCTTACAAGACATATTGTCAATATGCCAATGATCGTTATGACTTGGACTTCAAAATAATTTCACATTTGTTAGGAAAATGTTGAGATGAAATGTAGAGCAAATATTTGGCATAACAGGTCAGACATGTGCACTCCAGTTCAGCAGCAGGGCACTCGTTCATCCCTGCAGCAGCGAATCAGATTACTAAACATACTGATTGACTGCAGCGGTTTCTAGTGAACCTACTGCCATCTCTTCTAAACAAAGTTATCTCTACTGAAGTTCAAGAGGAGGTCATCGGTCAGCTCTCATCTAAGATCCCTTGTATACTGTATGACCCTAAGGATCCTAATAAAGAAGCTTTCAAAGCATAAATTCATCTCATAACAACAAATGTCAGCGATATGGTGAAAGCTTGCTCTACTGCGCACTAACTGTGGCTTCACAGTAAATGGAGGCAATTTAAAAAGAGAAAATCCACCAAGGCTTTTTAAAGAATGAGACAAACTTGTTTTCTGGGAAAAGTTTTTCTAAACCCACACGAAAACTGTCAAAGAATCAAGGTAGCGTGATTTGTTGTAAATACCTTCCACTAAGCTTTTGTTAATTATCACATGTGTCATAACCATCAAAAGACAACAACAGATGACTTGGCACACGCTAATGTTTGACATTTCTATCTTTGTACCCTTTGTTCCCTCACTCTCTTTTTCCTCATTTGTTTATGACACATTATACCACACCTGCCTCCAATAATTAGTCTTCCCTCTCACTTTTCTTGCTTTGTCCTTGAGTTTCTAAATGCAGACAAAACCAGTGAATTACGAAGCCTCCGTTCTAAAAAGCCTCATATAGCATCACCTCTCGGGTGAGAATTAATCATTAATCTTTACTGTGCAATGTTTGGTTTTCTTTAAAACTATACTATTTTATGACAGTTAAACTGTTCCCAGGAATGTAATGGGTCACAGTGATTTCTACTGAAACATTTATCTGCAAGTGTCCATTGACACTTATATGCTAATATAAGAACTCATTTGCACTCACTGCAGCTCATTTTCCCGTACTTTTATTTACTATTAGTGATCACATATGGGTACAAAAGAAGACACATTAGACAAGATAAATATCTATAGCTGTGTACAGACATATTTTAGTGTGGTTTAAGTGTCAATCTCTGAACTCGTGTTTGCAAAAGCATCTTGGTTTTATAACTTCTATGGAAATGTACATGAGTACCGTGTGGATACATTGGTTAAACAAATGAAAAAAGAAATGTGGTTTCTCCTCAGCAAACTCAAATAAAAAAAATCTTCTGAAGTTACGGCTGGGAATACATGTTTTAGTCACTGAAAATTTATGTCTGTTTTCTCTGACATGCATAATTTATTTTTAAATACTACAACTCCTACATTTTAAAATGTTTTGAAATCAGTTTGAGCCTAAAAAAACAAAACAAAAAAAAAGCTGTGATCGATGTGAGTTTTCATTCAGCAGAAGAAATTTCATTTTGGATGATCCATTTTTAAATAAACATAACTCAAATGGAAAACAGATTCTAAATATTTCTGTCATTTAACAACAAAGACAGGAAAGAGGCAGCTGTGGCTGACCGCTTCTGCTTTCCGCACAGGGAAGAAAAAACTGTTTCCATCCAAAAGCAGTGACAGAGCTGATCAGTCGGGATTGACATGTGAGCAATGATTACACTGTGCCTGGATTCCCTCCTCACCACCAAACCACCAGAACTTCCCCTGCAGCTGGCATTTGTGTTCCTTTTATTTTCACCAAATTCTGAAAAATAACCAACGTATGAACATAAATGTGGATTAAACTCCTAAATAGTCCAGAATCAATAGACTGATATAGCATTTGCAGGTAATGGTGCATACATCTGTTGCTTCCGTACAATATTGACAAAATGCTTTTGGCAGTTGATTGCAGCTCATTTTAACTATCAGATGAGCGTGCTCAAGTATCAGGAAGACGTGGCAAAACAAGTCGTCTACATAATTACTCCTTTGTTGTACTTTATACATTTTTCTTTACATTAATCAAGCAGCTTTGGATTCTTTCAAAGGGTTTATGTCATAGGTAACACATTTGATCAAAGTAGCGCACTTCAAATTACTATTTAAGGTTAATTTTTAATAGCAATAATCCTTCAATACACAAGCAAATTTTACTAGATTACATTTTTATGAAATTATGCATTCATCACAATTAATATTTTCAATTAAGATTCGTCAGTATATTTAGATTTTTATTTCTAATGTTTAATGATAACAATTTTTGAATACAGAACTTTTACTTGCACTGTGGTATCTCTGCTTTCCATGAAATAACTCTACCGCTGGACATTTGTTACACAAACCTAATTAGCAAACATTAATATTAATTATTGATTTAATTTACTTTTTAACTGTAATACTTTTATTTTTCTTAACTTTAGAAAAAAACTAAATATAATGGTGATTTAGGATCAGTGAGGGTTAAGCCGAGCCTCCCTTGGGAGTCAGCATTACAGGGCTGCAGACAAACAATTTAGAGATTGACCTTTCACCTATCAGACACTAGGAAAAAAAAAAAGCCTGGTGGGGTCATATCCCCATAACCATTATGGATCACATGCAATTTCCTTCAGCCATTTAGACAGGTAAATTACATATGCGTGTGTCACATACTTATGAAGAAAGTCACATTGCCTGTAACCAAAACTGCTCCTCAAAGAAACACAGGTAACTGTTTCCTCTGATATAATATTACCTACATTTCAATCAAAACATGCACATAAAACATGCCTGCATGCAAACACATACGCTCGGACTCACCTACAAACACACTCACAGGCTGTCTGAGAGCCTGTCTCCAGCTGACAACATCAGTGGAACCTGATCTGGCTTAATACAGGCCCTTACCTGCATTTACTGCTCCGTTAAAACGCCCTCTTGTTGTCCTACCAATTCACCACACTATAATTGCACTGAGGCTGCATATGGTCCTCATCTACTGCCCAGCACAAGATAAAAGCTAACAGACTGTGGGTGTACAGCACAGTAGAGAAGTAAGCATGTGTGTGTGCGCACAACTTCATATATGTGACTGTGTGTACATACGTATGCAAGCATTTTAGGGCAAATTGGACTCACCATAACTCAGGGGATAGTTAGGAAAACTGCATGATGTCACTGTTATTATACTGTAAATGCAGTTGATTTGGCTTTGAGGTGGAGTTCTGACATGTGCGCCGAGGCTGCCTCGCTGATCCTACCTCCACATCCAGACTTTGAACTGAGAATCATTGTGACGTACTAACATATCAGGCCAAGTCTCTCTACTAATTACTCACTAATTGTGTCCATTTTATTACTTTCCAGGAATATTTGGGACAGTTTTACTTTAAACGAGATAAGAAAAAGCTACTGCAGAGTAATTAAAAGTGCAAAATTAACCATCTTCACATTATTTTTAAATGCTAGTAGGTCACTTATATCCTGATAAAACTTTACCACGTGTTCAGATGGAGCTTTCTTTATTTTCTCACTGATGAAGTTGAGATGATGACTTTGGCAAGAAACTAAGGATACTAAATAAACAGCTGAGTAACAGGATTAGTAATGACAGAAGATTGGCTTGTACACAGCCTCACAGTGCTTCTTTCGTGCTAATGCCAATGCTTGTGGCTGCTCTGCCCAGTCAGGTTTATGAAAGTCAGTCGGATTAGAGCCCAGCTGGGGCTCAGTAAACCAACACTCAGCCTTCGCACTCATACCGCCATACATGACTTCCCAAACAGACCTTGACATCTACCCTGCCCTGCTTTATTCTGAGGTTCTTCATCATTCTCCCCTCATTGTTTTTTCCTTTTCGCAGACACTGCTAACATGGCCTTGCACTGCATCCCACACAATACTTTTTCAAACACAACACACGCTCTGCTCCAAATTAAAATACCAAGGCTTATTGAGCAATACTCTTCTAATGGTTTCATCCACCAATGGGTTTATCTTTGCTCACATAAACTCTGCTCCGACCAAAAGAAGCTGCTCTCCTCTCTTCTTACGTAAGCTGGCAGAAAATCTCCTAAATCCCTCTCTTTTGCTGTTGTTGTGTTGCGTTTCGGCTGGCGCTCCCTCTAAAAGAGCATCTGAGACCGGGGCAATTAGAACCTGAGCAGGGTCTTGGCGCATCAGACCATTTAGCACTAATAAGGCTGACTATAGAAAAACCCAGACCCATTGACACTGTAGCACTGTTTGGTATTGACGGTGATTTGACGGCACTGAATCGTATCAAAGAGTTTCAAGATGTTTGATTTTCCCAGCGAGAGCTCAAATTCTTGGTCGTTTTTCTGGAGTGTGAAGAATTCTCTCTCCGAGGACTTAAAACAGAGTCATTTTCTGTTTGTATTATTATTATTTGTGAAAATAAAATGTTCAGACCTCAAACTAAAAGATACAGAAGATTGTTTTTTAAAAAAGTTACACATAGAAATGGAAGAATTTAGCATCACAATGACAGTTATAATGATAGCCTGATATATCACATCATGAGCTTGAATGGTGAAGTCTGAAAATGTAAAACTTATGCGAACCTTTAATGTATAAGTTGAAGTTTATATAGATACAATACCGATAAACCCAAAAGGGTCAGACATCTGCTGACATCTAAACAACCATTTAAGCTAAAATATAAAGACAAAGTGTCCCCAGACTAAAGGGAAAGTTTATGCAATTTGAAACAATGGTGAGCATTTGTGTATTCTAAACGCACAAAGGTGCACGAGTGGATGCCCTTGTCTGGAAGCAGTTATGGAAAGCATCAGTGTGTTATAAGACATCCAGAGACAAAGACTATGCAAGAGACAATGAGAAAGGTCATAAAGACAGAAGAAGAGAGAAGGAGGGAACAAGGCAGGAGAAAAGCTAAAGAGAAAGAAAGAGCAATGCAAGGTTGCTGTTAATTCTTCCATATCTAAGCCTCTTTGCAGAAACTCCCTTTGTCTTCCAAGTCCCAGTCATTAGAGCCTAATCCTATCAACCAGGGGCTAATCTGAGGGCAGAGGGTTCAGCCCCCTCAGCTCCACAGGCCAACACACACGCGCACAAGTACACACATAAATGTTAAAGGCACACAAACACAGACATGCTCGGACAAGTACACACTCGTGTTCAAAACACTAACAGAAGTGTAGATGTTTGGGCACGTACACGTGCACGCTTGCGTAGATATATTTGTGAGGACATAATACTGTAACCTTAAGTGGCTAACCCCAACACTAATGCTAAGGCCAAGTATTCTTCATCAAACAGCCCTCTGACGGACTGTGAGAAAGAGATGGGAACTGCGTGACAGTGCTCTAAAACTTAAAGTAGTTCTCACAAAGATAGTTGTTTAAGTAAAATCACTCTCCCCATCTCTCTCTGCCTCTCTCTCTCTCTCTCACACACACACACACACACACATATATAACACAAAATCAATCATTTACCTCTAGAAAGTACACTTCCACCCATACTTTACATGGTTTGTGATGAACTACTTGGTGGAGAAGAGACCTGTGTGTGTGTGTACTGCGGGTGGGTGTGAGGGGTGGGGGGTGGTGGGGCATCACATTCCCACACATTCCAGCAGAGCCTCTCCCCCTGCCATCATCATTCTCCTCTTTATTTCAGTGCTGACTATGCCCAAGATTAGTTATTGATCAGGAAGGATATAAATTATTCTAAAGTGAAAGCCCAACAACACAGTCATTATAGATCGACTATTGACCAACGCCAATATATCATTCCATTTCCACTGCACTGCACCCCTGCCACTAGCCAGAAAAATGCTCAAATAATGAGATGGGGAATTTTTATGACTTGGGCACACTTTACGTGACCTTTCGGGGAAGGTAGATGGATAATATTAGCGTTGGGTTCTCAAATGCGATAGCATTTAGAGAATTTGGCCACAATGACTTGATAATTTATGACAAAGACGGATTTTGATGGAGTCGAATAGCTCGTACTATGATGAAGGATGAAGTTTTCTAAGGTTACCTTTTGGTTTCAACTCTGTGTGAAAAGTTTGTAAAAGTTGCAGCCGCTTGTCTTTGGTTGTCAAAGTTAAGTGCGGTGTAAGATGATGGATTTAATGTAATATTTAAAGATTCTTTAGTCCAATCAGGTTCAGAACTCAAGACATCTAGCATCTTAGTAGCAAATACCAATAAATTCATTTAAATTCATAATAAGGATTCACAATAAGGACTTAATTCAAATTCTGCCACTGTATTTTAGATGGCATCAGCTTGTTCTTATTCATC